AGAATAAAGGAATATAACAGTTATACAAAGATAATCATTGCCATGATTGTAGGAGAAAATAGCTCTTTACAGGGATATCCCTTGAAAAATATTTTGGTCTTCTCTTATTTTCCTTACAAAATTTAGCCCAACTTTTTATCACTTAGGGATGTCCGCAAAAATATGAAATTGCTTTTCTAAGTGGAGAAAGTTAATGAATTAAGAACTTTTAAACCATCTTGTACACATAAATTTAAAACATGACATGTACATCTAATATGAAAAAATTTTTCACCAACATTTGGTTCACAAATTGCTTTAAGTTTTGTAATTGATTTAGTGTCGACGGAGGCATTATCAAATGAAATTGAAAAAATTTTTTTGATCAATTTATATTCATCTAAAATTCAAACAGTCATTCTAAATATATCATTTGCAGTATGTTTATCATCAAAAATACGAAAAGAAATAACTATTTTTTGAATTTCCAATCATCATCAATCCAATTACATGTAATACTCATATAAAAATGCATTTGTCAATGATCACTCCAAATATCATAAAAAAAATTGAAACACGAATTTTTATTTCAAAAAATAAAAGTTCTAACTCTTTTTTTCCTTTTTTATTTAAAGAAACAATTGTTCGTTTTTTACAGTATTTCTTAACACTCTTTTAGTGGAAGGATTTAAAGTTTTTTGACAATATTGATTAAAACTCACTTTTCACCAAAACTAAAAGATAAATGTTTCACAGAAATCATTTTAGCTAATTCTTCTTTTTGTTTTTCAGAATATTGAAATAAGGAAAAGTTAGAAAATGTGTACCTAGAAATTTATATTCGAGACCGATCAACTCCTATTTTTCTTAGATGTTTTGCCTCCAAATGCTTCTAAAATGATCCATAACTACCTATTTATTTGTATTTATAAGATGCTCCACAGTAATTGCAAATTACATAAAAAATTTGTCGCTTTTAAATTTCTTTATAAAATGAATAGCGAATATGTTGGAACTTTGTCTTGATCATCGAACAATGTGTGTACATTGATCTTCCCCTTGTCGTAAGTTGTCTTCATCATTAAATTCAGATACTTGAGTTGAAATTTTCAAATTTTTATATGGATATCCCTCAAGATTAAATTGGTTGGGAGTAAAATCGAACATGTCGTTCATATGCATAGATGAATTTTGTATTTTTCCAACCTTTCCCTTGCCCTTTGCGAAACTTGAATTTCCTCTACTTGCCTCTATAGGATAATAATATGTAACTTGAAAAAATTGAATAAAAAAATTAAAGAGAATAATTAGAGATTGGAATTTGGAGAAATTAATTGACAATAATTTAGACAATAATTAGAGATTGTACTTGGAGAAATTATTTAACAATAATTTAGACAACAATTATAAATGAAAATTAGAGAGATTGTAGAGTAGAGATTAATATAGAGTAGAGAGCATAAATAATTTTGTGTGAGAAGATTGTAAATGGAAAGGAGTATTTATAATAAATCTAAAAATTAACTTTCCACAAATACCCTTAACACTAGCCGTCATATAGCCGTTTATAGTTATTAGGAGGGTTAATTTGGTGATTACACAAAAATATTTGGAAAAATAAAGAAAAGCTACTGGAACCAGGTGGAACTGCTGGTTCAAACCGGTGGAACCACAGAGTCTAGCCGTTTTATCGAAAAATTCAAGATTATTTTAGAATCGCCGATTCAAACTGTCGATTTGAACCGTTGGAATCGTCGGTTCTAACCGGTAGAAAAAACTGCCAGTTCTGGCTGCTTCTTAGAACCTCCAATTCTCGATTTCCTAATATTGGAACCACAATCGGGCTGTAGACCCCCGGTTTCAGTTCAGACCATTTCGATTCCCATAGGTTCTAAACCAGCAGTTTCGATTTCAAAAACCAGAAAATGGCAAACCCTATTCCCACCATTTGTTTGTACTTTTATCAATAGTGGAGGAAGTTAACATCTTAGTATCATTATATTATTGAAGTTATAGATTGAATTAATTGCTTAATCAATGGTCATTAACTATTTGGCTTAAAAAATTTTTGGCTTAAATGAATCGTAAAAGACTTTTTGGTTATTCATTTTTAGCCTGGTGATGTTGATTTTTGACTTAAAAGTTTTATTGAATTATATAAATTTTTCGATTAGATGGCATGACCAATGATAGGATCAATACTTTGATTAAAATTTTTATATTGAATTTAGACTTAAAATTTTTTATTAAAAGGATTCATGCGCTAGAATTTCGTATCCTTTTAAATAAATTAAAGGGTATTCATATGTAGTATTATTGAAATTGGACCAAATTGATTCGGTCGGACTAGTTTAACCGAAACCGACTAGCTATTCGGTTCGATTATCAAGTTGGACCAATTTTTGAAAAAAATGGATTTTCTGAGAAAATTAAGTCGAATAGCTGATAAAAACTAGAAAACTGGATTTTCTTAATAAAAATCGATTTCTTTTTTTTTGGAAAAAATCAAGCTTTTTTTGAGAAAACTGGGTTGTAAATATTTTTGTTGCACTTATATATATATAATCCAGTTGAACTCAATTCAACCTTGATCTAGTCATGATGCCGATTTGGTGGCCAGTCTGGTTCAGACAACATTGTTCATATATTACTTTACAATTACTTGGGCTTTGTTCAATCCTTAAAGCATTTATTTTAAGCTTTGAAAATTTTTATTAACTATATAAATTATTTTAATTAGTTTGAATCAATTTAACCATGACCAATAGATATGATGATGCAACAAATAATTTTTTAAGTTAAAAATTAATGATTGTCATCATTTTCAATAATATGTATAATTAATTATGTGATAAAATGAAGAAAATCATTGATTGTGAGAACATGTATTTAATGAATACATTTCCCTCCAAAATTAAGTTTCTTTTCCACCCATTTCCCTTCAAAACTACTCAATGGTATATTTGTAATTTTGAATGCCATGATCCTGGATCACAATGAGCCAACTAGCATTACTCTAAGAGTTTTGATTAGGAAATGAAAGTTCAAATTTCAGAAACTTAATAACGCACCCTTAGTTGAAATTTTTTACATCGCAAAAAATAAACCAAATTTTTGTGGAGCCAAAATTTCGTTTGAATTATAGAGACTCCTCAACTTCATAAAAACATGGTCATATAAATTTGAAGTAAGACATAACTCTAGATGCCCATCCACAATTTTAGTTCAACCATGAATCCACCAAACCAGTTAGACCTTAATGAGTTGTACAAACTCAGAAGCTGTGCCTCTATGTAATGACTTGTCACTCAATTTAAATGCTTTGCTTGTTGATGAACAACATATTATTATTACTGTGTCTGACCCTGAAGATGGTAGAAACAAACAAAATGAAAAATCTTTGTATGCGTGAAATGACGACAACCAAAGGAAAGGAGTCAACAACTCTTAACTACTTCATTCCTAAATTTTGTGCCATTTTAAAACTCAAATTCCATCTCAATCGGAGCACTGTTTTTCTTAATTGGACCACATATTTTTTCAACGTAAATTTAAAGAATCAAAATTTCTATATATTTAATTCTGATCGACACTTTTATCTTTCACTACTTTAAGAGTCTCTCATAATAAAATTTTCACAAAAAATAAAACAAAGATAATATGGGGTTACCGTTGGCTTTCTTTTTAATGTTACCATATAAGACAATATTTAATGTCAAAAAAAATATAAGACAATATTTTTTATATAAAAAAAAAACCCAATTAGGAAAATTTTCCTATTTAAGAAGAACAGAAGGAGTAATTGATAAGGATAAATGATAAATTTGGTGTTTAAATTTTTGAGTTTTTGTCAATTTGGCATATGAAGGGAAAATCTTAGCAATTCGGTGGTTGAACTTTTTAAAAATATCAATTGAGTGTCAAATGCTGATCTAATAACCGGAATCATGTTTCAACAGTGGGTGGGCCCCATAAATGTCCAGTCAACAACCTGTATAGATTGACACTGCATTGTTGACTTAGCTAAAAAAATAATCTGACGTGGCAAAATGCTGAAAATGATAAATTTGCCCCTTGTTCATGTTCTCATTTGCTAAATATGAACCTACAGCTCTTCCTTCTACCTTCTTTCTTTCATCCGCTATCATCATCTCCATCACCTTCTCCACCACTATCATCCACGCCACTACTACCATTTCAACCATTGCCTTCATCTTTATAATTTTTTTTTTTAACTATTTTTTTCCGTTATTCAAAGCCAACTTAGAAGATTTAGAAGCCGAAGCTCCATTTAAAATTTATTACAATCAATTAACCATTATTTATCTAAAAATAAAATGAATCTGAAAAGATTCAAACAATCAATATTAAAAGATACCCAATTCAAGCCATGAAACCCACAAAAAAAAAAAAAAAAAAAAAAAAGAAAAGGAAAAATTTAGAAAAAAAAAAAAAAAAAAAAAAAAAAGGAAAAGGAAATTTAGGAACTTAATAAGAAGGAAGCTATATCAAGAGTCGTACAAAAATGGTAACCCAATTGACAGACAATTGTTGGAAATGTGACTCAAAATGAAAAAGTAAACCCAAAACCCACGATTGGGTTTAAAGGCTTGCAAATAGGTGGAAGCGATGGTGAGTTTATGACAGATTTTAAAAATAATGATCCTGTAAATCCAATTCCTAGCACACTTTGCTATGGTGTCAACCAAGAAAAACCCTAGCAATCATCTATAATACCTTGTGAAATAGCAACAACGATTGTAGAAATTAATACAAGAGCTCCGACCATCGGCTAGACACTCTGATTGTGGCCCGCCAAACAACAATTCAGTTGATAATGAAGAACGGACTGCGGCGGCAGCACCGCAGGCGAAGAAGAGAGTATTCTGCATGAATTTAGAAGAAGAAGATAAGGATTAATTATGGAGTAGATGGTGAAGGAAGAATGAGATTTTTTTTGAGCCTTGGAACCGGAGAGGTAGCAATTTCGTACAGGTCGATCATAAATCTAGAGTACGTAAATGGAGAAGGCAAAATCATATAGGAATGACAAAGAAATGGCATTTTTGTCATTTCACAGTCTTTGCCATGTCATATTTGATAGCCAGAAATATGAGATGTCAGTCCAAGTACATGCTAACTACACTTCCATGGGGTCCACTAATCGTTGAATCATATTTCTTTCTATCAAATCACAATTTGACACTTAGAGGGCGTTTTAAAAAAGTTGAAGCAACCAATTGAAAAAGTTTTTTTTTTTTTTTTAAGAGAATTGAAAAAGTTTTTCATCCATACACCAAATTGCCAAAAAATAAAAATTCAGAAACCAAGTTTACCATTTATCCAATTGATAAGAAAAAGAAATTTATATTTTAACAAAAAACATTAATATGGAGGGAAATAATAACTTTGGTGTTTCAATTTTACGATTTTTTTTTTCTATTTATGTGTCTCGCTAAAAAATATTTACAATTTAATGCATTTACTTCTTAAAAAATATTTAATTAAATAGCCGTGGCCGGTTTTAAACACTTTGAAAAATGATTCGGTAATAGTGGAGTTCATTTGTTCATTTTTAATAGGTTATAGGCTATGTATAATAAAGTGGAATTCTTTTTAATCCATCTCAATTACTATAAATACATTCAATTAATAGTTGAAGCATATTTTAAATAAATTATATATTTATTTTGTTAAATAGACCGTGCACATTATTTTTTTATTTTATACGTAGATTTTTCATAATATAAATATATATCTCTAATATATAGATAAAACTTAGTTATTTTATATAATATATATATATATATATATAATACATATATTAGGGTCTTCAAACAACTAATACCGATACAATGTAGATTAAAATAGTAAATAATAAATTAAAAGCATTATGCTTGTTTCATATACTAATATGAAAATAAATAAATAAAGTTCAGCCTCTAAAAGTTTCCAATTTTATGAAAGGAAAAGACATTTTCAATTGAAAGAGTAATGATATATTAAACTAATAAAATAATTTAAAATAGAGTGAGAAATTGAAAAATAAAATTATATTTGTTCACTACAATCATTCTTGAAATTAGTATTAATTTTAACGAAGTTAATAATGTAAGTATTATTATTGAATGTCTATACCTGTAAAATAAGGAAACTAACCAAAAATTATAATACCATAATCTTGAACAAAATAATAAAAATTTAATATTCTATTCAAATTTTAATAAATCAAAAAGCATGAAAAGATAAAAAAATGTTAAAAAAAAAATTATTAGGGAGCAAAAACATAAAGATGTAAAAAAAAAAAAAACTGAATTTTTCCCTTAAAAATAACATGCTAGAACCATTTTGCTAATTTAGAAACTAAAAGACGATCGACGTTGGTTTAGAAATAAAATCTAGAAGAACACAAAAAAGAGAGAGCCAGAAAGAGAGATGGCTAGAGTTTTTCCAACCTGTGTGTAGAATTTATAATTCTTGCCTATTTTTCAATTGTATAGATGGAAGCTTTTAAATAGCATTAAAAGTTAAATTAAACACTTAAGTTTTCTGTTAGATATGGTTAGAGTGTAGAATGGAGCCTTGAATTAATTAGGCATGTGATGAGATTTGATGATAGGCTTAATAAATAAAAATACTTTCAATTTTGCGGTTTACTATAATTGTATCATATTTTAAACTTTCTGACAACTGTATCCTAAAATAGAAGATAAAGATTAGTTACATCTTATAATTAAAATAAGGTACTTTCTGAATTTTTTTTTTAATTTATTAAAAAATAAAGAAGTATGGTATTTTGGTAGGGCCGCTTCGAATACAGACCAGGTCGAGTTGGAGAATTTGGAATGATTGCTGGAGGATCTGGAATTACCCCTATCTTTCAGGTTCACATCGTTGCATTACAAAAGCTTTTTATTATTAATAGTCATTTATACGACGTGTGTTACATTTTAATTATACTCATTTTTTAATTATATTTATTAATTATATTTTTTTAATTATATTTTTTTATTTTTTTTATATTATTACTAGTCTTTATAGTTAATGGCGTTGCCGGTTATTATTATTTGTTTATATAACTTATTTTTTATTTATATAGTATCATAAGTTATATTTAGGTTTTAAATAATAACATAGTGATTATTTATAATATATTTTTTTTATCTATATTTATTCATTTTTATCTATATATATCATAAGTTTATAAAATAATATACTTTTTTCTTCTTTTTTATCTATATATATCATAAGTTTTTATAAAATTAATTATACTTTTCTTCTTTTTATTCTCTCCTGATAAAATATTATATCTCTTTTTAAAAATTATCCATCATATCTACCAACATTAAAAAAAAAGATTTATAAAACTACATATTTTTTTATCTATATTTAAAGAATTAATATTTAATAACTGACAATATAAAATTTTTCCACATGTTCAATTACATATATATTCATTAAAATAAATTTAGTAAAATATAAAAAACTGAAAATTTGAATTGTTTAATTATATATATGTATTTATTTAAAATTTTTAATTTTTTTCGATTATTAGGAGGCTTGATGGCGATAATTACTGCATGCTACACAATTAATCAAATTGATAAACTCACCTAATAAAAAAATCAAATTGATAACTCACCTATTAAAAAAAACGTCTTCAACGTTTATGGATATATAAATTCTCTTCAATTAAATTTAATTTTTTTAAATAAAAACCTTCAAACATTTACATCTAGGTTTAATTATGTAAATTCTATTTGAAAATTTACTTTTAACAAACTTTATCCAATCAAATCTTACAAACATAAAAAAAATATTACTGACAATACATATTGCTTTTCTTCTTTTTTATCTCTCTCCTAAATAAATATTAGTTATATTTCTATTTGAAAATTATTTTTTTTAAAAATATCCATCTATATCATACAAACATAAAAGAAAAAAAATATTTTCTTTTCTTTTTTTTATATATTTCCTAAAAAATTTCAAATATCTCATTATAATATATATTCATTAAAAAATAAATTTAATAAAGATAAAAATTTAAAATTTTGAAATGTTTAATTATTTACATGTATTTATTTCAAAAATATTTTTTTTATTCATTAGAAGGCTTAATGACTGAAATAACACCGTGAGCTATATAATAATCAAATTGATAAAAACATTTGTGATCAAGAGGATTCGAACTCGGAATAATACTGTGGGCTACATAATAATTAGGCGTCATGTGATTAGCTGAAAAATTGATTTTTATAGATTATATCCAATCAACTAATAAACTGTAATTTTTTAATTGGTCATTATTAAGGGTACTTTAGAACATTTTAAATTTCATTAATGGTAATATAGGAAATCTCATTATTTTCCCCTATTCCCACTTTTATATATAGTATAGATATAGATTTTTTTTTTTGTATCAATTTTGTGTAATTTTGTTATTATTTTTGTTTATTATAATGATGCAGTGTTTTATTATAATTATTTTTATATTTGGGTCCAGATCACCCGAGCTATATTAGAGAACCCAGCAGACAAAACCAATTTGCATCTTATATATGCCAATACAACCTATGAGGATATTCTTTTGAAGGTCAATTCCCTCCTCATTTCTATTTTATTTTACCTTGCAACCCTATTGGTAAAAGTAAAAGATGGTTTTACTTTTACCATTAGGTTTTCTTGCCCTAAAAGAATTGCTTATGCTCTACCAATTCAAAATGGAAATGTCTTTGAATTTATTTATTTTTATTATTTGGGTATTCTGCAGGATGAATTAGATGGCTTTGCTTCTAAATTCCCCAGCCGTTTTAAGGTATTTTATGTCCTTAGTCAGGTGGGTAATTATTTCCTGAAATTTTAAAATTAGTTAGTTTCTTTTTACTTTGATAAATTTAGTAATCCATCTCATAGACATTTTATATTTATTCTTTTTATTTTTATAGAATTGATTATATTTCTATTTTGACATGTTTAAACTAAATCATTATAATAATAGTAAATAAAAGTAATTGCATATCTTAAAAGAAAGCTTTGGTATTTATAAAGAATAACTTTCAACTGACGCTCTCTGTAAGATTAAGAATTTGATCCATGAAAAAAATATTTATAAAGAGGAATAACAATAAATTTCGAGACGAGATTAATGTCGTGCCAAAATGTACAGCGATACTTGTCCTGGTATAGGAAAATAAAAATAATAAAGAATGCTTGGAAAGTAACATTGGTTAAATTGGCAGCCCCCTGAGGCATGGGATGGTGGCGTTGGTCACATCACAAAGGAAATGATTCAAATTCATTGTCCTCCTCCAGCATCTCACGTTCAGGTATTTATCTTACAAAATGCTCTTCTTTCAGTCTATTGTTCAATGAGGCTAGAACTCTTTTTTCTATATATAAAAAAAAATCTTAGATATTTTATTTTTTTTTAAAGAAATTTAGAAATAATAATAATAATAATAATAATTTTATATCTAAAATTAAAGAAGTAATAACGTTACAGATTCTGAGGTGTGGGCCACCAGGCATGAACAAGGCCGTAGCTGCACATCTTAACGCAATTGGATACACACCCAACATGCAATTTGAGTGCTGATTTGTATATTTAAGCCTTTTCACCACTTGGACAATAGGTGGGTGGCATTACATCTTTTTTTTGTTTTTTAAATACAAATTTCAGTTAATCATATAAATTTGAGTATTTAATCAATTTCTTTCATATATATAATTCATTTTCTTTTCTAATAGTGTTAGAAAATTCAGAGAATATACGAGTTGAAATTGAACACATTGATTCAGTAATAGAAGGGCTAAATCAGGCATTACGTACATAAAAGGATGAGGGATATCCTCAACAATTGAAGAGAGAGCAGATTGAGCTATTGTCTGAGCTACAGTATTACTATTTCCACTAGCAAAAAGCATTAATAAAAATTTAATTTGAAGAATTCTTTGACCAAGTCTCTTGCTCGATTCAGTTGTTCCATGAAACCCAGCCGCCATAACTTCACTGTTATGGTTCCTAACCACCTTACCATACCCACAGCAACTTCCTTCTCTAAAATTTTAGAATTTTTCATATTAGCTGATTTATATTTATATTATATTTTAATTTTCTTAAATTTATAAAATAATTGTTAATAGAATTGCTTTTTTTATATTAATATTTTTATCATGATTTGTAATAATTTTCTATATACATTAAAAAAGATAATATATTCATTTTAAAAAATTAAAAAAATAACTAGGAGGCCAGTTTAATCGGCCAGTTCGGGTGCCTAACACCTTATCGATACTATACCTAACTCTTTACCGAGTCTCTGGTTTAAAATCGAGTTAGTCGATTCCAAAGAATCGACTAATTTGAGAAATTTCCCTAAAGAGGATTACGACTCCAAAATAAAAATTCTTACCAAAGTAAAAGATATTTTCTCGAGGATCAATGAATGGGTCTAATAATGAAAACCAATTTATTAAATAAAATCAACTAAGATCGTTTAATTTTTCTTAGCAAAAAAATGAAAAGTGATCATCAGTCTAGTGATTTCACTGGGGATCGAACCCAGAATCTTTGGTTTTCGATTTTGGGTTCGAGTAAGGAGTTGACTCTAAGTGTTGTCCACTATCATTAAAAATATTACTAACTTAAAATTGAGTTTACTTTATGTATATATAAATATCATTCATGCATTTATCTCTTCTCAATCTCACTTCTACCCTAAACCCTAAAGGTGATATTTGGGATTTGTGGTCCTTTTACTCTACTCGACTGTTAGGATCCTCCACTAATATACGCCACCCATAAGTCTAGTATCATTTGGTATATTAAAAGAATTGGGACAATCCATTATCGCCATTTGCTTAGACCCAAAGCTAAATAAGAGAAAATAACCAATTCTCGCTTTTGGAATCCAAGACTTGTATAAGCTCGACCAAAGCTTATGTACATGACCCTGGTTCCTACCCTTACAGTTACCATAATAATTAAATAATGTGTCATTTCTACAAATAAATGTGAGAGGCATCGGTCCAAAAACCCATGAGGGTTTATGGGTCCAACCAATATGTCCTAGGGTTTAGAAAGACTTTTTTGACTGTGAATCACGTGTGGGAGATATAGGGATGGAGACCATGCATTTCCTAAATCATGTCCCCTTTGTTTGTGTATACTTATGCTATGTTGTATTTTTCTCATGCATCACTTAACGTGTTTTGTTATAGCCATTTAGGAATATTCTATCATGGCTCGTTCTCATCGTTCGAAGCGCCGAAGGGCAAAAGACTTGAGAGAAGTGCTAGAAGCAAAATGAGCCAAGAGAGCTATTTTGAATGTTGACTATAGTGTCGAAGTTCAAGTGCCTAAGAGGAAAGCTCCTCCGATTCCTATGCCAATTAATGAAGACCCATTAGGAGAGGCTCATCAATTCTTGCTCTAAATTAAGTAAGCTCAACTCGAGGGTATGAACTTCTTCCAAGGAGTGGAGGCGCGTTTCACACTCATACGCAATATTGCCAACTGTCTTGTGGAGATTGGGCACTTCACCTTAGAGGATGCCAAGCCATATCAAGCATCTTAGGATTTGAGTTTCAAAAGTTATAAATATTTAGCTAGGGCCAAAAGAAGTATCATTATTGAAAGCCAACTATTTGAAGCAATGAAAGCTAGTCTATTTTGAGTCAAATATTGCTAATGCCTTAAGAGAAAGAAAGAAAATAAAGAGAAAAGAAAGAATAAAGAAAAAATAAAGAGAAAAATTTTAAATGTATATAAATGAAGAACCCTGCTTATGTATTTTCGCTTGAGGCAAAAAGAAAGGGATAAAAAAATAAGCGAAAGGTCATTATGAATATTTTGCTATAAATTAAGGCATGTTTTGGTTATGTCAATTTTTGAGAGCCCTTCCCTAATTTTCATCTCGAATAGTCATGATCAAGCCATGATGGAATATAACATTAGTTGCATTTCACAATGTCGTGTTGTGTGATTGCATTTTTGTATGTCACGCCATATTCATGCATTTATGCATACATGCATCATGTCATGTTTTTTAACCCTTGTTTTGTACAATTAAGATAGCGCCAAGAGGAGAGAAAGCTTTGCAAGAGGTCAACAGGTTAAGGACGGATGTCTGTGTGGTTAGAGTTGAAGAACCTTTAATCCCTTTCGACCTTCTTGAATCGATTTCTGCTAGTTTATTAGGCTCCCATTTTAAGATTGAGAATTTCCCAGTTTAGACCGATTTTCAACTCCTACTACTGCTTCTCCTTCTACTTCTCCATCTACTGACAGTATGAGTGATAGTAGCATTTCCGTTTCAAAAATTGAGAAATTGGTAGAGAAGATAGCAGCTGCCAATTTAGAAAAGCTCTTACAGAGGCAAAGCCATGCGGTTATTAAGTATGATGAAGCTAAAGGTGAGTTAAAAAAGAAACAGTAAGTTAGTGGTAGATGGCAAGATGAGGAATTCTTTGCCAAGAAGGTGACCCACCAAGAAAGCCCAGTCCGAACTGGTTGTTTCTAAAAAGTTTGAGAAGGTTAATGTCTTTATGAAATCTAAAGGCATGGACCAGTATGTGGACATGGATGATGATGAAGATGAAGCGCTTGAGCTGAAGACTACCGTTCCCCTGACCTATAAGATGCCTAAGGTCTCGAAGTATGATGGCACAGGAGATCCAAAGGTTCACGTAATGCAATACAAGGCCGTAATGGAATTGGCGGGTCTGCCGTCGAAAGAGATTTTGAAAATTTTTCCTACGTCTCTAACTGGGTCAACTCAGACTTGGTACTACAATTTGGAGAAGAAAGTAAAAAAGGACTGGAACGAGCTCACTACAGTCTTTTTGAAAGAATACGCCTATAACCTCCAGATGAGTGTAACCTGAGGGATTTGGAAGCTACAGTTCAGAAAAATGACGAGTCGTTCACAGATTATATGGCTAGATGGAGAGTCTAAGTCACTCAGATGAGAAACCAACCCGATACCAAGGAACAAATCAAGAACTTTATCAAGGGAACCCTGCCAGCTTATAGAGAGAAAATGTATTACATGCCTTTGACCGAGTTCTCGCAAGTCTATGTAACAACAGCTATTGCCATTGAGGACAAGTTGGGAGAGGAAAAAAAAATATGGACACTGTTTTGGAAACTTTAGTAAGGCTGGTTTTCAAGGATCTAATTGTTCTAGAAAAACCCTGAGTTCAAGCAAGACAACCACAACAGCTACTCTAGACTTGAGAGCTACCACCATGCAGCCTAGGAGGTTCTCCAATTTCAGTGCTCCATGTCAAAGGTGTTTGAGAAGGTTAAATCAGTGGATTTGTTGCAACCGCTAGCACCAAGACCACATCCTGATGCCTAAGAACTTCAACCGAAATGCTTATTATAAGTTTCACCAAGGCAATGGTCACACCATCGACCAATGTCTACAGTTGAGACATGAAATTCAAAACCTTATTGATGAATGCAAGGTGATAGATCTTGAGAAATCCAGGCTAAACATAAGAACTAACCTACTGCCAAACTTTCGCAATGTGCTACCTCCTAAGAATTTATACATGGTTGAGTCTAGCAAGACTCCTAAGGAGGTGATGGCTGAACTTGAGGAGGAGGAGGAAGAAAGGGAAAGAGAGAAGTTGTTGGAACACATTTTTATCATGGTTCTGAATGTTTGGGACGACAATGATGAAGAATGGTTGAACCACAACGAAGAGTGGGTAACGAGTGAAGATGACCTATTGGTGAATCCCATTACTTTAGATGTTTAGAGTAATGAGGAGGAAGAAGAATCAAAAAATGTAAATCACATGACCCATACGATCGAGCTTATCAGCTTGACATGATTAAGGTAAGAATAGAAAATAAGAAAGCAAGTTCATTGGTAATGCTTAAAATTGATACTGAAGATGATACACTAATCAAATAGTTGAAGAGAACCCATGCTAATGTGAGTATATGGGATTTACTCATCTCATCTAAGAAGCACCGTGAGGCTTTATTTAAGGCAATGGTAGAGATTCCAGTCTCATCATCTATTTTCACTACTGACTTTGTAGGGTTGGTCTAACATAACCCTCTTACAATCACATTCTTTGATGATGAGCTCCCTCCCGAGGGTAGGAATCACACCAAAGCCTTGTTCATTAAGGTTGAAGTAAGAGGACGGGTGACGAGCCATGTTATGATTGATGATGGCTCAGCGCTAAATGTGTATCTATTGAAGCTCCTGTCAAAGTTCAATCTGAATGTGCCTGATTTGGAACCATCAGATGTTGTCATCTGTGCTTATGATAACTCGAAGAGACAAGTTAGAGGGTATATTCAAGACTGTAGTGAAAGTGGGGTCGATCGAGAAAAAGATAGGATTCATAGTGATTGATATTCCCCCAACTTTTGCCTTGCTACTTGGGCGCCTATGGTACCACTCTTGGGAGCTTTTCCTTCTATACTACACCGGAAGATCAAATTTCCATTCAATGGGAAAGTCATTACCATTTTGATCGTAAGTGAAAAGAGTGTAACTGCGCTAAATATTGACAAATAGGTAATTCTCCCATGGACAGGCTTCCAAATAGCAATCCTGAGTACTGACATGGGGCCCACTGTCTCTAAGATTTTAAAGAAAATGAATTTTGAAGAAGGGAAAGGCTTGGGAGAAGACCAACAGGGCATTACTAAACTACTTAAGATTCAGTCTCAGAGGCATCGCC